GGGAACAGAGCTTGGATGTGATGCTCTATGCAAAACACAGGGAATGTGCTGGGGTGAAGCCAAGGTTTGAAGCGTACATTAACAAACCCACTGTAAGACCACGCCGCGCTCAGACTATTGCAAGATTTGTTGCATGCCTTGAGGCCAGAGCTGCTCCAGGGCCGCAGATTCCAAGTCTGCCCAGCCTGATCTCAGCCAAATATGGGCACGCAGTGAAGCTGTTGCTGTCCAAACTGGCAGGAGCCAGGGGCAGCTTTACCCACGTCCCTTGCAAGAGGGGCGTCACAGCACGTTACCAATCCAGCTGGAGTCCTGAGCAATTTTGCCACCTATGTTGCTGGGGCAGAGCTGCACATTTGCTGAACCCAGGGAAGGCAGGAAGACAATGAATACCTGAACATCAAAAAAGGGGGCACAAAGCAGCAGCCTGGTTCCTTCCAGATGAGCTAAGAGGGCCAAAATAAAACTTAAACTAAACCCTGCACTGCTGCATATTTTGCAGCTCTGGGCCAGATGCTGCTGATGCCTCTTGCACATGGCCCCCCCCCCCCCCCCCATTCCTGTCAAGTCTGATCCTGAATTCAAGCCCAAGTCCCAGCCTCATTAATCCCCTCCAGAATCAGGACTAGATAAGAGCAGCACCACCTGTTTCAGGAGAGGCTCCAGTCTTGCATTGGAGACGGCAATGTTTTCGGTGCATACTGAAACTAGCTCCCGCCCGTACTCATCAGCACCAAGGGTACTCTGCAGCATGTGCCCACAGGTCAGGTGCAGGGGAAACCTATTCTCTTAGAAAAGCAAATTCTGAGTGCAGGACAGCAGGGCAAATCCCTGTCCCACAGCCCTCTGCTAGCAAGGGTGAGTGCAGGGAAGAATGCAATGGCCAAAGCCTTGACTCCAGGGCCTCATAGACAGAGCACGAGGGGAAGAAGGGCTAGCAAGTCCCCCCAGGGCCACGGGGGAGGTGGGGGACAGACTATTCCTTCATTTAGAACCACGAAGAGCCTGCTCCATCCCAGCAGAAAAGCAGGATCCAGCTCGTCTTCATAAGACAAGCCCACCTTCTGCATCTTTAAATCCAAGTCCAGCTACTGCGCTGTCCCAGCCAGTGAATGAGCATGTAACAGGATTGCCAAAGTGCTACGGAGGGGCAGCCCAGGCTGGCCTGGCAAAGAGCAACCCGACTAACCCTTCGCCTCTGTGACCTGGAGCCGAGCAGTTCAGGTCACAGCATACAGCTCCTCACGGTCATTCTGGCAGATCTGATAACGACAGGTGAGCTTCTGTGACCAGGCCCAGGGCTTCTTATGCTTGTCCCGAGGTGGGAGCAGGAAAGCAACGCTGCTGGCCACCAGCACATGCCAAATGCTGTGGGTGTAGTAATAGTTCTCATTGGTTTCCATGAATGCATATACTGAGATGGCGATGAAAGCCAAGGTGATCCCTGGTAGGAGGTAGAAAACCCAGCGCTTCCATGAAGAAGGGTAGCAGTGTCTGCGCTTCACTCCATGGTAAACCTGAAGGGGTGAGAGTAGAGATGGGTAAAGCAGCCAGTCACAAGCTTATGTAAGGGAAATAGGCAGCGCTGCTTGCCCTGGGAGCACCTGTCAACCAGCCAGTCCTCACGGCAAGAGGGTACGCTTGCTGTCCCTGGGGAAATTCAGCCTTCCCCCTGCTTGGGCCCATCTCTTGTATGCAAGGCCCCATACCCGGCTGCGGCACCAACGTCCAGCACAGGGGGCAACGCCAGTGCCAGTGAACAGCCAACCACTAGGGCATGACGCTCCAGCCACAGGTGTGTGTTGAATAGGAGCTGCAGCAGCAGGCTGAGACCTGTCACCAGGGCTTTTCTCAGCTACTGGAGAGATGGAAGGTAAATTCCTTGCCCTGCTCTCCCTCCACTAGGGCATTCCAAGGAGCTCAACCCCTGGATGTGGATGGGCTGGTGTCTGGGGCCCACTCTGCTACCACTGTTCTCTGGAGGGAAACAAGGGGCAGCAGCTCCTGCCTGGCTCCTATTACTCACCCACGCTACAATCATGATGATGAGGGCAAAGAGGCAAGGACCCATCATGTTCCACACCCCTCTGCGGTCCAGCTGCAGAGACATGGCAATGAAGAGAGTCCCCAAGACGAAAAGGACCTGCAGGTGAGACAGTACCACTAACATCAGGAGCTCATCTGATGCCAGAGCACAGCCAGCCATGCCAAAGGCTTAAGGCAGGCAGGACCTCATCTCCCAGCTGCCCAGCACTGCCTGCGTGGCTCAGGAGCAGCACCTTCAGCATGAGAAACCAGAGGACCCACAAATCTTCCCCCTCACCCTCTTTAGGCCCAGTCCCAACAAGCACGCAGGTCATGGGCCAAACTCTAGGGATAAAACAACCCTCTGGTTTAAAAGTCAGAGCAGCACCAGACGACAGTCTTTGAAAGCCAAGGAGGGCTGTCTAGGGAGCAGGACCACCTTGGAGGCAGCACAGGAGGAGCCGCTGTACAGACTGTGCTGTTAGAGTGCTGCCACCAGGGGGCACGGCATGGCCGCCTGCAGCTTGGCTGGCTCAGGCCTGCGTGGCCCTGCAGCAAAGACCCAACACTCACATATTTCAGAATCTTCTTCACCCGGGACATGCACAGGATCGTCACCCAGATGGACACCACGGAGCCCAAAAAGTCACAGTACTGTAGCGTGTCATAGTCCATAATGCACAACACAGCAACGCCTGGCTGGTCACACGCATGGTAGAACTAGAGCCGGGAACAAGAGCAGAGGCTAGCATGAATCCAGCAGCTCCACACACCTTTCCAGGAAGGAGATGCAGGAGAAGAGCTAAGCCCATGGTAGCCAGGATCCCTCCTGGAACTGTCTCCATAAAGCTCCAAACTACAACGGCACTAGGGAAAGCAGCTGGAGAGCAACCATCAACCTGCACCTTCCCAGCAGCAGGCTGAGAGCTCCTAGGACAGCATCCCTCAGCTCAGTCCTGGTCCTCTGAGGGAGTCAGCAGCACCAGACGTGTAACGTGACAAGGAGCCCCTGCGTACATTCAGCAGCTCACCCCCACTCAGGGAGACAGAGCAGCGTGCTCCAGCCAACGCAGCTGCCTGAGTGCAATTCAGGGGCCCAGAGAATGCTCCACCCATTAAAGCATGGGGCAATGAAGGTGCATAGAGCTCCAACTCCGTCTCAGCTCCCCAGAGTCCCAACCCCAAATGTGAGCACCCACAGCATGGGCAGGAAGAGCCCAGTGAAAATAACACTCCTGTTGAGCTCTGAAGGGGCAGGACATATCCATTGAAGTGCTCACCCAGTGATCCCAGAAGCTCCTCATAGAGCTCCAGGATGGGACCCCTCCACCAGGGACCTCAGTCCAACCAGGCAGGACTCACTTCCTGATGCTCAGAGAGAGTGCAGTTGGTGCTGTCAGGGGAACTGACAAAAGACAATTCTTACCGTGGAAAAGAACATGGTGTAGGTGTAGACAGAGGCTTCCACCAGGCAGTAGCGATAGACAGCAATCACGATTGCTGGCAGGAACATGAGGTTACTCAGCGTGAGAAGAAGCGTGGCCAGATTCTGCGCACTGACAGACTGGGCCTTGGTATCATCCGTGCAGCTCCATCCACTCCAACCTGTGGAGCAGAGAGGCCTGTGTATGTTGCACATCCTGCTTGTCCTCCCACACCACCCAGCAGAAGCTAGGGCTCCTCAAAAAGAGGCAATCACATCCTAGGACTATCTCCAGGCCTCCCTTCCCCTGCTCCAGAAGGCAGGGCATTAGAACGAGGAAGGAGGGACTCACCTATCACGCTGGGAGCACGCCAGGGGCCCACTGTTCAGGGCAGTTCACCCACAAGCATTCATCTTCCCAAATAACCCAACCAGTATTTATACAGACCAGGTGATTTTCATAGTTTTGCTGTTTGCAGTTGCTGTCTAATGAGCTCTGCTGCCACAGCCCCTGTTGCCCAACTGCTCCGTCAGCCACTCACATTCATAGGACACACTTGTTACGTGTTGCACGCTCTGCTGCAGAAAGTGGCTGGCCCAGACTCCTAAACCTTGGAGGAACCCCAGCAGAGAGCCCAGTCTGTGCTCTGAGAAAACCTCCCAGGTTTTTCTCACGTAACAGGGGCCATTGAATATACAACATGGGCCTGCCCAGGCTAGCACTTACTTTTCATCGCCATAGTAACTCAACACACACTTTCCTTGCTGGCAATAAACACTTCAGGTGTTTCAGCTGTTTGGGATAATGCTGTAAGCTGGGTGCAAAATGCTGCAGAGAAAGATCCCTACAGATCCCAGAAACCAGGGGGAGAATGATCCACAACGAGGAAGCCACTAGCCTCCTGTCCCACCTCTTGCTCCGAGCAGGGCTGACTGCAAAGCCAGATCAGGTTATTCTGGGCCTTGAGCAGCTGAGTTTTCAAAATCTCTAAGGATGGAGGTCCCACGACCTCTCTGGATACTGTGCAAAACTGAACAACTCTCATGGGGAAAACCCATTTCCTTACATTTGGCTGACATTTTCCCTGCTGCAACCCGGGTCCATGACCTCCTGCCCTTTCCCCACGTCCATCTGAGAAGAGCCTGGCTCCAGAGTCCCTGTAACCTCAGGGATTACACCCTCCTCTGCCTCCTCTTCTTCAAGGTGACCAAACCTGCTGTTTCAGTCTCTCCTCCTAGGCCCTGTGCTCCAGCCCCAAACATTGCAGCAGCCTTTGCTGGGCTCTCCAGTTTGTCAATATTTCTCTTGCACAGGGGGTCCTCCAAAAGCCCCACATGGAGCCTCACGAGTGCTGAGTAATCACTTCCCTCAGCCTTCTGGTTATGCTCTTGCCAGAGCAGCTCAGGATGCAAGCAGACCTTCAGGGCCACAGGGGAACTCTGCTGACTTGTGTCCAACCTGCTGTTGACCACTCAGGTCCTCTTCTGCAGAGCTGCTCCCAGCTGGCCTTTTCCCAGCCTGTGCTGATGTACAGTGTTGTTCTGTCCCAGATGCAGGAATGTGATGAAATTCATGAGGTTCCCATCAGGCCATTTCTCCCATCTGTTGACATCCTGCTGACTGTCAGGCCTGCCCTCTGCCACTGCAATCAAACCCCCATCTGGTGTCATCCATGAATGTGCTCGTCATTGAAGAAGTTGAACGGTATTAGCCTCAGTACTGACCCCTTGCATTTACTCATACAATGTGGATGATCCTCCTATTCTGTAGCCAGTTCCAGGAGAATAATTAGTGACTGGGAGTTCCTTAGTGCTCCTGATCCTGCCAGGACCCTGCTCCTGGGGCACTTGGGGGAGCGCCCAAATCTGCTTAGCATCCATCCCATTACAGTGCTGCTAGAAACAACACCTGGATGGATACCCAGTCACTCTGTCCCTCTTCTCCCTGCTCTCTGCCAGGCAGAGCCTACAACAGACTGCTCTCCCCAGTGTATTTCTGGGTCACAAATATAGAGGCAGGCCATTTTGCTCCTAGTGATTCAGCAGAAAGCTGTCCTTAGCCTGATTCAACTTTTCTCCTGGGCTGCTCTGTGCTTCCCAGAACCTGACGCACCTCAGCGAAATCAGATGCTGTTCTCCATCTCGCTACCAGCCCAGCCACCGAACTGCTGCAGACAGCAGTGACATCCTGGATTGAGACCAAAGCAGCAGAGAACCACGCTTCGCCTTGCCCTTCTGCAGAGAAGAGGTGCAAGTATTTGTCCAAGCTCAGTGGAGCTATCATCTTCCCTATTCTAGTGACCCCCCCCCCCATCTTTTCATTTCACTATATAAATAGAGATGCCCCTCAAGAAGGAATGTCTGTGTTAGCTGCTGAGTACAAGGGTTCGCTTGTGCACTGACTCGTGGCAGGAGACAAAGTACCATGGCAGAGCACACACAGGGATTGCCAGCCCAGCTTCACTACATCCTATATCAGCACTCTATGTAATAAACTGCCCTGAAAGGCCCTTGCTCTAACACAGGCATTTTCAGGCAGCCCTGCTGCCCTCCCGACCTCTTTGGAGAGGTGCTTTTGAGTATCCCCAAAAAAGCACCCGTTTTTGAGGGGACTCAAAACTGGATGAGAAACAATCAATGCTGCCTGCCCAAAAAGGACTGCGAGCACCACAGGTATGGAGGGCAGGAGCTGTGACTCCATGCTGTGTCTGGCAGGCATGGCAGGTCCCAGGGTCCCACGGTCCCCTGCCTGCACTACAGCACAGAAGGACGTGGCCTCCCCTTGGAGCAAGTGCCAAGGGCTCCTAGGAAAACACACTCACCAGCTTTACAGCTACAGCCAGCGTAGAGGTAGCCATGTCTTCTCAGAAGACTGCACTGTCCATATAGCCCACAGTCATTGAAGCAGGGGGTGAGGTATGCCAAGATGGTCACTTTGGCTTCTGCGTTGTTACATTCACTGCAACAAGAGGAGACCATGTTGGTACCCTGGCCTGCATGGGCAGCCTTGTGCTGAGGGAATGCTCCTCTCTGGAGGGTCTGAGACTGCCTGGCCTTGCTGTGCCCTGCAGTCGAGCCACTCATGTGCGCAAAGGCTTCCTGCCATTTTGGCATAGGGATCCTATCACTTCAGCCAGCAGTGGATCTGCTTCATTCCTCTTCAGAGGCTGGAGGCAGTTAAGAGCACAGAGTCGGCTCCTTCTCCACTCAGTGGGCCAAACCTGTGCGCAGACAGGTCTGAGCTCTTCCTCACACCTCCAAAACAGGTAACCGTGACTGGTCCTCAGGCCCAGCGTCTGCAAGCGCTGTTTTACAGCGTACGCTTAGCCACTTACACGGAAGCCTCACCAGGAAGGCAGACTGCTAGACCATGGGCACAGCTGCCTGCGTCTCAAAGACTTCCTGAAGGAGTAGCAGCAGCATTTTCATTTACAGCACAACTCTTTCCACAAAATCCATCTGGGTAAGCGGCAGCCCATCCAGGCAAGTGACAGGCTCTGTCACCCCCATGCAGTCAGCGTTAGAGATGCCAGCTCAGCATCAGAAAAGCTGCTAGAGGGCCACAAGAAAGCAAGTTGGCACGGTCACCTTCCCCCAGGGCCTGGCTCTGCAGCCACAGCTTCACTGCTGCCAGGGGAGAGGACCCCATGGCACAAGGCAGGACAGCAGGAACAGGGGGTTGGTTTTGTTCATGTTAGTCAACGGCAGCAGGACCTGGAGGCAAAATGCTCTGAGCCAGCTCCAAGACCAAATGACACACCAGACTCACCCCTGGCCCTTTGGGCAGATGAGCTGCAGGGAAAGGAACCAGTCATTGGTCTCTGGGTAAAGAACAATCAGCATTGCTTCTGTGGAGGATGCACTCACGCTCAGAGGGTAGCCCTGGAAGAAAGCTTCAGAAAAAGAAGGTATTGTTATACACCAGGACAGGAGGTGTATTGTTATACACCAGGAGAAGAACCTGCAGCAATCCCAGGCTGAGACCAGCTGCAGAGGAAGAGGGTACTCCTACAGCCCTTTACTCCCATCCCTGCAAGGCACTGGGGGTGAGGGAGAAGGTCCCTGCTCTCAGAGACTCTTGTTCTTCCTGTCAGTTCAGATCTCAGCACCTGTCTAGACAGCCAGTGAGTGCATAGAGCACATGGAACAGCCATGGTTTGCTGGGTTAGTCCTCCAACAAAGAACTCGGCTTTTCTGCACACCAGCAAGGCCCTGAGCATCCCAAACCTCCCAGCCAAGAAGGCTGGAGGAGCCCTGGTTGGGAATCAGACCTTCCTTTGGTGGAGGCTGACTCCTGGTCCCAGACTAGCATCTGCACACCAGCACTCCTGCGCAGGTACCAGAACTGAGTGGTCAAGATCTCAGGAGGGCTTGTGCCAAAATCAGCTTCACCGAGACACCCTCCCAAAGGACCTGAGTCAGTTAATAGCTTGTGAAACCTAAAAGCAAAGACCTAAGACAGTATAGCTGGGCTGGCAGTGGGTGCCAGGGGCTCTCATACCTGTGCTGCAGTTCTGTGTGGTATTGAGGGACAGCACTGGTGAAGCAGCACTCACACAGGCTAACACAGTGGCATTGGCCAGGCTCAGAGATGTCTGTGCAAACAGAAAAGCATCCCAGGTCAGAGAGTGCCTCAATATCGCTCCCCTTGCACACCCCTCACCTCCTGGGCTATCCACGCCCTACAGAAGAAGCAGGTGGCGTTAAATCCTGCAGATCAAGGTCATCCAACAACTCACCAGCTCTTTCTGGACAAACCTGCACCCACCTCAGCCTGTACCATCACTGCATTATGTGCTTGCTGAAAGGCATGGAGAGACATTCTCCCAGTGGGACTGCATGAGTAGATATGCCCCCAGCTGGGGGGTTCACACTAGCTCATTGCTTCTGCACAAGCACATGGTGGCCCTGCTTCAGCCCTCAGGGAAGCACTGTCTCATGTGGTAAGCTTCATTAGTCAGGATTTCAGGGAAAGGGAAACGCTGAAGGAATCTGAGCATCAGTGACTCGGGCAGGAACGTCCCTGGGTTTCCCCAATTAGTCTCCTCTCCTAGCGGCAAGGCTCCAGGTCCCACGGAGGAGATGGTGAGATGGCTGCTTTCCATTTTCTCTCCTCTGCATCATTGCTTCCACAGGCCAATGAGCTATGGCATTTGAATTGGAACTGGCAACCGGGACATGCTAGATGTGGCTAGAAAAAGCTCACAGTGCTTTGTGATAGCAGAAAGGAAAGGGAAGGGAAATAGCCCCACCGATACCTACAACCCCTGTAATTTGCTGACAAACTAGCCTGAGAGCAGGGACAGACACCGGCCCCACAAAGAGAAGGCAATCACATAAATAAGCCTACTGCACCTTGTTAAGCAGAAGATTCACCACAAGGGAACCCCCGCTGTCCATGCCAGTATTCAGGCCAAGAAGGAGGAGGGTAGGGAAGATGGAGTACACAGGCACACTGGGACCATTCAAGAGCCTGTACCGCACAGACACAACATCCAGGTCCTCACGAACGACAGGCTGATTCTGGACACAGAGACTCCTCTGGTCGGATGTGTTGTGTGAAGCCTCTCCTGCAGGCAGAGCAGGGCTCCCTGCGTTACCTGGTCTGGCACCATTTTGGCTCTGGTTCAGACTGCTGAAGTTAAGGAATGAACTGGTACTTCCCAGTTTGCAAGCTGTAAGGGGGGTGGGGGAAGAAGAAAAAAAAAAAGGAAAAAAAAAAAAAGAGAAGTCAGTGCAGCCAGGACTAGCACTGCTCAGAGGCAGGGTGAGCACAGAGAGACAAGACGCTCCTGCAGACTGGGCCCCGGCTCATGGAACTGTAAGAGGAAGCACCACCCCAGCTCCCAGAAACTCACTGTGTGTGAGAGTCTCTTACTTGGTTAAGAAAGGGCACAACTCAATTTCATCTGGGCAATGCCCCAGCGACTCGATACTTTCAAGTGAAAGCGTAAACTGGGGGGTATTTCAGCTGGTTCAGGCATTGCAGTACTGGTAATAGCCCCTGAAGGATACCATCTTTGCAGGCAAACTCTAGCATCAGCATCCACAGCCCAGGACACCGATAAGAGCCAGAGAACTGGTACAGTGGATGGAAACAACCTGGAGCTCCAGAAAAGCAATTGGGAAGCAGAAGGGGAACAGGAGAAGGGCTGAATCATAAAACTGTATCACTGTATCATAAAACATCAGCATACCCAGCAAGCAGGGGATATTCACTAGCCAGCAACAGCGTGAGGGCTCAGCACTTACTGTCCCATAACCAGCAGCTGCATAAAAGGCTCTAGCAGTTCACCAGACCTGGGTACGCAAGGCTGAGCAGAAGGGGTGAACGTACCCGACACCAGCTATGGGCACGAACCATAAAGCCATAACCACTAAAGCCAGATATGACCCTTGGAGTCTCACTGTTGGAGCCTGCCCAACACTCCCAGAGACTCTAATGCTTCTGGCACTGATGTCTCCTCCTCTCTAACACCTCTACTGCTATTGCCAGGCCAGGGATGAGGCTCTGCTTGGAGGAGGAGACAGCAGAACTCCTAGCAGGAGAAAACTTAAAAAAAAAAAATTTACTTGGTGAGATTCCACAGGTCAGCACAATTTCACAAGCGTAAGACTCTAAAAGTCAGAGATCACGGTCACGTTACAAGAGGATGCAAAGGTGGCTACCACAGCCACAAGGACCTTGTGAGCTCCTCAGACATATGAAATGGTGCCATCCCCTCACCACAGCCCAAGATGTAAGCCCAAGTACACCTCCGAGAGATGGTTTCCAGTCTGCAGGCTCTTACTGACAAGCCAATCAATAGTCAACATAGAGTCTGGCACTTCTACCCAGAACTATTCTCCCCACCAAATTTTAAGCCAACCTCCGCTACCCAAACAGCCTTTGGAAAATATCAGTGGTTCAGAGACCCTGAACTTTTTTCGGGAATTTCCAAAACAGGCAGCTCCAGGGACTATCCCTCTTCAGTGAATATCGGAAGCTACACATTTGATCCCAAAGCAATAACTAGACCCCAGCCCTGAATGTTATGCCCAGACAACCAGCATGCTGGGGAATGCAAGCCACTGGTCACAGCTACCCAAAGGCCCAAGAAAGGCACAGCAAAGTTCCCCATGTTCCTTCATATGGGGCTGGAGAAAGTGGAAGCCCACCTGTGAAAGAAGCCACCATCTCCACAGACACATCGGCATTGGCAGTACCAAGATTCTCCACCATGATCTGCAGCCACTTCTCCCAGGGGGGTGAATCCAGGCCCAGGCTACAGTTTACATTCCCTGTGCAGGTGAGGATCCTCTGGAAAGACTGCGGCAATGTGATTGAGCCCAGCACTACCCGCACAGTGCACGCTGTCTGCCCACTCGTCCCGCAGCTCCGCAGCTCAAACCACATCCTGGCGGTGTACTTGGGAACAAAGACCCTGCAAGAGGAGAAACCAGCAACTTGCACAGCTCATACTCGGGACACAAGCCAGCGATGACCCACCAAGGAGTCCCAGGGGCTTTACAGCAAGAACTACATTGCCCTAGTTTGTGTTGTCAAAATCCTGCCCATGGGTACTGTCTCTAAGAACAAATTCATTCCTGCAGTTAAACCTCTAAGACTACCTAGAAGGAGTCAGAGCAGCGCCCTCACATGTGCTCCCCACACAAACCCTATCCTTCTACTGCAAGGAGCTTGTTAAAGAGGCTCAGAGACCTGAGCTCCAGAGCACAGTTCAGCCCAGGATGGAAACAGTGGCTTACCCTAAACAGCACCAGCCGGAAATCTGACCCCCCTCTGGTCCCGAATCTTTCCGGCCGCTGCTCTCACTCACTTGACATGCAGTGGTTTAGCAGGCGAGACGACGGTTTGTGGCAAGGCAACACCAGGCTCCAGAACAGGCATATCAATGAGTCTAAGCACAAACATATCTGGCTGAAACATATAGGTGCATGGGGTGGAGAAACCCTGCAAGAGGGGAGAACAGAGCGGTCAGGTATGACAAGACAACACCGGACAGAGTATGCTGACTGAGACCCATGCTGTGACCCTCACCTTCACTTCAATTCTACCAGCGGCCTCGGGGAGATGCGCGGCGATGAACCAATCTCCTGCAGCAGGAGCGGTAATGTTCACAAAGGTGTTGTTCTGCACAGCACTGCTCAGAGTCATACTTATGTTATAGGAAGGACGGACGGTTGCATTGGCAGGAAAACGAGTGCCCAGTGGATTAATGACAGGTGGCGCTCCATAGCGAAAGTGCCTGTAGAGAAACCAGGATGCAAATAAATCAAGGGATGCAAGTACATCCTGCAAAATAAACTGGCATACACATCATCAGTGGACAGCCAGGCTGGTCTGAGATTAGAAAGGGAGCTGGTTGGGAACAACTCACATTTTCAAGTGGAGCACAGACCGTCATTTTCATCTAAAAATTGAGAGAACTGTTTGGTAGTAGCTTATCTTGGATTTATTTAGAGATTGGTTTAACTTGCCTGCTTATTAAGATAAGGATTTACATGGTTCCATCAAGCCTGAAAGCAAATTTCCACAGTGCTTACTAAAGTTAAGCTCCAGTCACAAGACTTTTTTTTTTCCTTCTTTAAATCATCAGCAAATTCCCCATATAGCCAGCTAAGCTAAATCGTCAATTAAGAGCTTTCTTTTTATAGCTAAGACCTGCATCTCTCCCATTTCCTCCCCTAAGGAGGAGGGCAGACAGTCTTTAAAAAGACACTTACCATGGAAGGCCTGTGCGACCGACTTTAGTACACGGGTATTTCTTTCAAGATAAGCAGCCTGAAGTTTGAAATACTAGAAAAAGCAGTCAGCTAAGTAATACATGGGATATTTATTTGGGCAGCCAATTCGGCGTATAATTTGTTCCATTTCCAGACTACCGGAGTACAGCAACAGACCAAGGGACGTAACAGGTCCAGCAAGCAAACATTACAGATGATGTGTTAATAACCCACCTCAGCTTAGCTGGACTGATTTTCACAATATTTTCTTAAGTTATCATTTAGCTCCTGCCTTGCCCCTCACATCTCCAAACTATTGGCAATGCTTTTGGGAAGTAGAAAAATCTGTTCAAGGCTGATCTGGAGCAGCAAAGAGCACAGCTCTGTGCCTAGGACAGACCAGCTGAAGCACAAGCCAAGCAACAAAGTTAAGCTGCTCTCAAGACCCCTACATAGCAGGTCCCAGACACATAAGGTCTCCTAAAGATCAAAGTATCTCCAAGGAAATGACCTTCCCAGGAAACTTGGAACCCTCACAAGACACCGTTCAAAGTCTCAGTCTCCACATCAGCATCTCATCTCCACATCCTTGTAAGTTCTTTGCCTCAAGTCCTCCAACAACTCAAGTACTGCTTTGGGCAACATTTGATTCACTGGCATTGAATTTGCCACCTTCTAATGTTCTTGTGTCATTAGGATTTAGCGTTCCTTTCTCATCTCTGCTCTGCACACAGCTCACGCTCCTTAAAGAAATGCTCCCAGTCTCTTCAGCTCCTCTGCACAGGGGAGTTTATCCCTGTCTCTGGTCAGTCTGGGTCCTCTCAAGCCCCCTGCATTTCTGCCACATCCTTAGGCACCGCGCACAGGATCCTTTCAGAGGCAGAAAGGGCCAAGAACACCTTTGCTCAGGACCAGCAACACAAGCAGCATTTCTAAGGCATCTCTTAAACATCACATCTGATACACAGCCCCCAAATCCAACAGTAACATGAACATGAAATGCTCCTGCTTGTTTAAACACAGAGATCTAATGCTAGTACAACACTAAGAAACTATGCATGCTGCAGCTGGGGAGCAGACACACACCTGCAATTGTGAGCAACAAAGGACCAGAGAAGGGCAGGAAAGGTCACACATGCAAGCAAGGGCACGGGGATATACGTACACTGTGACCTCCATGCTGGTACACTCAGGTCCTTTTCCCCTGGATGCTTGCAGGAGCCAGCGAAGCAGCACAGTGTCTTCTGGCACATGGAAGTGGAAGAGCTTGGCATTTCCATACCAGCTGTAGAAGGACAGCTTCTGCGCACTCTGAGAGAAGTACTCAGAGACATACAGCGAGTCTGAAAGGCAGAGAGCACAGCAATTGCTGGGGTGACTGCAGGGGGCAGGTCGCAGGTCTAAATCCACTTGCAGAAGCACATAGAAGTTTAAAGTCGGCGGAGAGGAGCCCTTATGTGATTTTGATTTCTCAACCCAATCCCACTAAATACTTGTGATGTTCCTCAGCAGAAACACAGACAAAGTTAGGACAGAGTAGCCAGAACTGCCCACATCCTTACTGCCAAGCTGTCACCTGGAGTCATAGAGCATGAAAAAATGCCTTAGCCTCAGTCTGTGAGATGTGCTCTGAAGATGACGGATCACCCCCGAGGGACTGAGAAGGAGGAAAAGACCAGGAGGAAAAGTTGATGGCACAAGAGAACATGGTGGAGAAAGCAGCAGCACAGTCCCAGAACCTGGGGTCAGTAGCACATGGCTGGGGTGGGATGAGGAGGGTGCAAGGGGCTTTGGGCTCCACATGGGGAATTCACCAGGAGTTCATGGCGCTGATAGACAAGAGCTGTGTCCTGTTCTCTTTCTGCTGGGGGCATGGGCTGGTGTTAACATATATACTGCACAACACACTGTCTTCCTGTGACATGCAAAATGATAAAAGCCCACATGCTGCAAACTTAACTTAGCTTTCAGGTACACCTTCCAAAGTCTGAAGATTTTCCTACGTGGAAGGAAGGCCATATAAATAGTGACAACAGGCCTAGGGTAGGCTGCAAGCTCATGCGAGAGGACAATGGTCATTCAAACAAAGTGCCATCAGGACTAACTAGGCCCCCCATCCATCTCTGTCCCCAGCTGTACCTACAGATCATCCCTTGCCTGCAGATAATTTCATGTGCAAAATTATAGCAGTGTCATTTGGTGTCAGCAAGAAACCAGACTGCAACTCAGGGAGAGAAAAGAAACATCATGCCAGGCTTAGGAAGGCAGCAAAACTGCACTAAATTAAGTGAGACAGCGTAGCCTAAGCCTGTCTGCCCAGCAGAAGATATGGCTCTTAACACTCAGCAAGGGGATGGAAGAACGTCTTTACATCTCTACTCAGTCCTCCCAGGTGCTTCCTACTCTAAAATTCTCTCAACAGGGAGAAAGTCTGGTAGCTTTTGAATTCAGGTTCCTCATTTTGATCAGCAAGCACTGCTTAACTTCCCTTCATCTGGACACCGCTCAGTGTTTTGTGTGGGAACACACAGGACCCAATTGAGTTTGCGTAGGGCACCAGAGCAGGGGGAAAAACAGTCCTCAGGCAGAACCAGAGCGTGTGCCTTGGGAGGTACTTTGGTGCCAAGAGGAAACTAACCCTAGCAAGAGCTATGATTTGTGCCCCAAAGCAGGAAGCATGCTGGCCTGCACCCACGACACTGCAAAGACACAGGAAGGGTAATAATAGGTTTAATTTCTTGGCAAATTACCAAGCTAAAACCTCCAAAGGCATTGGAAACCCAACAAAGAAAGGAGGAAACAGGCAAGCAAGAAATACCAGCCACACAGTCTTCTCTTCTGCCAACATACAAGCCAATAGGAGAATTCACTCTTCAAGGAAGAG